TTCTGTTCAAGTTCTACTGCAGTACAGTCTTAATATTTATTTATTTTAAGCCAAATAGATTTATATAATTTATCACAACTTCTCCTGTTACGGTCAAGTTTCCTAATAAATTATGTTTCTCATATAATTTTGTTCCTGATGTCGTTTTTGCCCTGACGCTCAAGACCCAAGTCTAGCTTTCAAACACTAAAAAATGCATTCTGGCAGTAAATGTCAGGTTTTTTCACAAAGACAGAGAAAGGAGGACACACTTGTCTCTGAACCACCCACTCCTCACAAACCGTGGTGAAAATCTGGTGGTTAATTAGTTGGGGCTCATTATCATCAGCGTACAGATCTACTTCCACTTTCTGTTCCACTTTCCTCTACTTCCCCTCTTAGACTACTCTCCAGGGTGTACATCTTTACAACTGTGGGAAGAGGGCAGGGGGGGCAGGGGAGAAGGAATATTCTCATGTTTTTGGATTTTGGAACATGTTTCAAGTCCAAAAATGCAGAAATATAGATTAGAAAGAACACCTGGGATAAGAAACAAGTCGCTTGCTCTCAGTGGTAGCCACAACATATAATAAGCAAATAAACTTCTTTAATCAAGGTTCTTTTTACTCTCTTACTACTCCAGTAGTTACTAAATCTCACCTAATTCCAGTGGGTTAGAAAATCAAGAATTTTGCTTGAAAGATTAAAATTTTGGCCAAAAATACCTCTGATACAAAGATTCATAAAAAGGACAGCTTGATTTCCAGCTTAATCACATTTTCTGCAAAGGCCTCAATTTAAATGGTGTTTGAAGGGTTATTCACATTCTCTTCAGTCTTTATAGCTCAGCTGATATCATTAGAAGCCATATGAACAGAACAAAATTTATTATATTTTATATCTGTATAATTCAACAGGCTTCAAAGGAAGGTTTAAGTTTAGGGTAATAAAAATTACTATATTTTGAGGAAATACTGTGTAGTCTCATAAAAACATATCCGTTTCTCTTTTTTTTGGTACTTATCTGTCTGTATTAGAATGCTATTAAATTTTATCCTTCATAAATAAAGAACAGAGTTGGTGGTTCTTATTTTTGTTAAATTCAGTATAGTTCAGTCTCAATACTATTCAAAGATGAGAAATTGTATAATTGAAAATTAATTTGATCATATACTTTGTAAAACCTAAGAAAATATTACAAAAGAATAAAAATAAATTGCAGCAAATCAAAAGCTTTAATTAAGAAGTTAATTTATGTGAATCCAGTTCTCACAAGGTGTTATAGGTACTAGTTATTTAATATCAAACCTCACCAGCAATGCTATTGAATCATATTTTTTTCAGTAAACCAGTGCTACTGAATAACAATTAAACCAAATAGTGTTTTAGGAGTATATAAATCTAATGTGTTTGTGTTGTGTTCTGCTTTTTTAGCAGAAATGATCTACAAATATAAGACAAGATTTACAAGCAAATATAATATTTCTTACTAGAAAAAATTATATTAAAAAATAAAAACAGGGGGCATATATTCTCTAGAAATATGAAGAAAAAGCACAGGATCTCAAGGTGATGTCAAAAGACTTTCTCAGATTTACAGCAGAATGCTAGTCCCTCTCTAGAAGCAGAGTGGTGAGCCTTCATGGGGCAGTGAAAATGTTAAATGGGAGATGAGGGGTAAGGAGGTGATTATGTTTTAGAGGAGGAAAGAGAGATAAAGGGAAATTTACAGATCATGGAAGATGAAGTTAAAAATAGGATGAAGTTTCTAATGCAATATTTTTAGTCCGTGCCTTCTTGCATCCTGTCCAAATTTTAGTTGCCAGACACAGTTTTGAAATTCACTTTGTGAATTTCCCGTGATCCGGAAGACGAGAGCTCCACATGAAGTGATGCCTTTGTGAGAAATCTGCCCCGTGCTTATGTAGAGCACATTTCCTCTGCCTGTGGGAGCGCAGCGATTGCTCCATCCCAGCCACACCATGAAGAGGAGAGCATGTCTGGTGCCAGCTGCTCTTGTCTTCCTTCAGGCACAAAGCAGGCTTTTCAGAATTAGGAATTGGAGAGTTTTGTCATAAAATTGCCTGTTATTTTCTTTTTCCCTTTTAATAATTTTACCTCTATTTGCTAATTACTGTACTATGCTCAAGTACTGTACACCTCTCCAGGGTGTGCAGGTGTGGTGTGTAATTGTTGCCCATATCATCAGCAAGACAGATTTGCCCAGCCAGGAATTCAGTTCCCTAAATGTGTTTAGTGCATTTGCGGTTCTGTAAGGTCTCCTAGTAACCCATGCAGGTGTGAAACAGGACTCCTGGGAGCCCATCACTTCCCAAAGGCCCACAGAAGTTATACTGTCCCTAGGGACCTGTGTTGGCATGGTTGAGTCCTGCCCTCACACGCTGCCGTCTGTTTAAAGTCCATCAAGAGTCAAAGAGAGCACATAGACCAATTGCCTTTGCCCCATGTTTTTCACTCAGGCTGAGTAACAATTCAATTTTATTGGCTCTGTGGAAGGATTGAGCTGTAGAGTAGTGGCACAACTTTTCTCCCTGGACAGTTCTCTAGTGCCATTAAGGTGCCTAAAGGTTTCCAGCTGGCTTCCAACTACCTGTCTAGAAGCCACAGGTCCCCTCTAGGTTCTGGATCACAGCCACCAGTGTGGCTTTCTTTTTAGAGATCTGTCTTATGTTTTTAAATGGATATATTTGTTTGTCTCAAAGGTTTCAAAGCTAGAGGGAATGACCATGGTGTTACAGTCTGATTATGTTCATGCAAATGTCACAAAAGACAGATGCTGTTCAGGGCTTTTGCACCAAACATATTTTCCCACGGCACTAGAATACATTTTTGGAAAACATGTTTGAGCTGACATGAATTTAATTTTATAGAAAAATCAAGAACTATGGGCAGATTTTATATGAACTGGGATAAGTGTTTTTCTTGCTTCCCACTGTGGCTGGCTGTCAGATTCCTACAGCTGTCTGCCATGTAGCAGTGAAGGATAGAGACAATAAGAGCAGCTAGGTTAATATCAGCTACATCCAACTTTAAGCACTTATTAATTAAGCTTTCTTCTACAGAAACAGAGAAATACTTATCTCTGGAGAGTGATTCAACCAACTAACCTAAAATTAGGTCATGTGGCCTCTACATTGTCTTCATTCAATGTAGAGAAGTTGAAACCTCTAATTTAGACTACATTTCTAGTTTCAGCAAACATTAGTGTTTGCTCAGAACACATTTGAGTGACGAATGATGGAGATCTACATCCCAGAAAACACTACCAGAGTTTTGCAATATGGCCATCTACACAACTCAGCAGCCAGTTCCCACTGCCCAAGGCAGAGAGACCGGAAGAGGTTCACGAGTGATGTTTCACAAGCACATCTATAGCTGGCCTTGGGGTCTGGGAAAAGAAGAAGCTGTACAAGCAGCTTCTGGTTACGGTTTCCTAATGCTTATCTTTGACATTTATTAGGGTTGGTGGATGTTGTACTGACTACCCCATGACTTTTTTTCTCCTCTTACAAGACAGCAGCAATGTGACCCTGTTTTAACCTAGAAAGTTGACTGCCTATCACATCACTAGTACTGATGATGTTACACAGAGCATCCCAGGAAACAGAAACAGTGCTGCAGCATGGTCATGACCGTAACACTATACCAGCAGGGACTAGGGACTCAACATTCCTAATTGTTCACAGCATGGATGTCTGTTAGGTAGCTGTCTAAATGTGCCTTATATCAACAAAAATCTAATAAATATGGTCAAATACATACAGAGCTGAATGGGACCCATACAATGCAATGATAATAATCAAGAGAAGGGTTTGTTGGGTTTTTTTTTAAGTATCTGAGAAACGCCTTTAACAACAAGCTTAACAACGAGGATATCACGATGAAAAAGTTCACTATTAATGCCTCCAGCTGGAGAAAAATTGGCTGGAAGGGACAGCAAAAAAGCCAAAAACCAGAAGCATGGATTTCCTGAAAAAAGCCACGGTCCACCGTGAAAGCATTTCTTTCAACAGTTTTGTAAAAGTTGAGTATGTGCTGTGAGAGCTCCTCTGAGGTGCCAAACACCTTCATCTCCCTTTGCTGCCAGTGGAAGAGGAAGGTGCTTGGCTGGAAGATGGTGAAATCCCATAATTTGTCACAGCTTGTGTGACTCTTGAAACTTCCCTTATTCTGAATTACTTAAGACAGGAAATAATCATATGCCCTGCGGCTAATGTGGTTAAACTGGAAAAACCCTTTAGTGATGAAATGGCAGATAGATAGATAGATAGATAGATAGATAGATAGATAGATAGATAGATAGATGCAGACAGAAATATAAGATTATTCACATTCTTTAGGCTCAATTTATAAGGTAAAATCAATCTCATTTACGTATATCTTGGATTCCACCAGAATGATTTAAAAGAAACACACTGCTTAAAAAATTGCCAGAAAGAGGTGGGTAAGGAATTGGCATTTTCATCATAAATCAATTTGAAAAGAAAATATTCTGCTTACAGTCATTTCTCCCAGTCTCTTTTGTTTTCTTTTTTATGGGATTCATACCTTACACACAATTCCCATTTTCTAGGTGGAGAATGTAGAGTACTCTGACATTTGGTGGTCCCACTTCACACAGGTGTGTTGGGACAACTTACAAGGTTTTGCATTTGTCCACCACTTAATCTGGCATGAAATTGCTCAGGTTTGTCAAAGTCGGTGTAAAACAACTGAAATTGAGTGCCAGTTTTGAAAGGGCAGCCAAGCTTCTTAGACAGATTCAAATCCCAGCTGACTTCAGATGACTGTGAAGTCGGATGGGTTCAATTAAGTTTTATTGTGTTAGTCTGCACAGTGTTATAACTTGTGTGGAGGAAATCAGAGCATGATAAGCTCTGAGTCAGTCTACAGCTGATTCTCCAAAGCACCCCATAACCATACGAGCTGGGATGTGAGAAAGGAGGCACATGGAGCAGAAAGCAGACAGCTCTCTTACCAGGACAGGGATGAGAGTAGAAATGAAGGCTCTTTCACTTTGGCTTGTGACATGCACAGCTGTTTCTAGCGCTCTTCTCTTCCACCCAGACAAAGACAATGAAGAAGATGCAAAGCTTGTACAGGTAACTGCATTGTCCATATCTGGGATCTATTGAGCCCTCTATTTTTAGACCTATTCTGTGTGTTCCAGTTGCACAGCAGCTTGCTGCATTTCTGAAACAATGCTATTGCATAGAACTCTGTTGCTTGAACTTTATTAAAGTAGGTTAAATCTGTACAAACTGGAAATGTCAAGTTAATAAGAGTCAGGACAATGTTGTCTGTTTCTGTTTAGCTATGATCCCCATGAAAACATCTGTTGTGCTCCAAAAGCACAGGAAGGTTTTGCCAGCAACCTACACAAACAACAACAGTCCTAAGGTATTTATCTGTTCAAGAAACAGATCGAAATGTGAAACATGTCACTTTTTTTTTTTTTTTTACTAGAACTACTTGAATAAATTCTATGCTGTTGAGCCAGATCCAAATCAACTTGGATGGAAAATAAATGCTGAATCCGCAGCTGAAAAACTCCAGAAAATGCAACAATTTTTTGGTTTGAAAGTGACTGGAAAACTGGATAATGAGACATTGGAAATGGTGAAGAAACCCAGATGTGGAGTTCCTGATGTGGGTCTCTATGGCTTCACTCTGCCCAGATGGAAAAAAAACAAACTGACATACAGGTAATTACATTTTGAGTTTAAATTTTAGGTTTGTGGGTATCTGAATTTGTTGTATTTAAATATAACTTCTACAGCAATTGTTTTCTGTTGGGAATACAAAAATGTTTCTCTCTCCACAGCTGTTAGTTATGCATGCTCCTAAGGGGAATTTCTGAAAATCAAGCTGGGTATTTTGCATTTACTGGTTCAGCCATAGTATTTTGCCTGTCATGTATCACTCCTGACAAATATTCTGTAAGCCAAACAGAAATGTCAACTTCACCCTGTGCAAACCTCATTATCTTTAAAATTTGCTGAGACGACAGTGCAGTAGTCACAGAAACCTGAGGAGGTAACTTTCCTCATGCTCAAGTGGCAACCTCCTGGCTAAGGCCCATTTTAAGAAAAAACTGATAATGTGTACACGACTATTATTATTAAAAAGACATATTGGACAGTTATCACATACTCAAACACACTCAGTTTTCACATATCAAATTCACCCAGCCCAAGATGAATCTTGGGACCTATTTGTTTATAGGTTGTACTGTTTCTTATATTTTCTGTTAATCTTCTTAACCATATTATGATTTTCTTTTTTCTGCAAATACTAAATATTATGCTTGAATTCTCATAACTGTAGAATTGTGAACTACACACCAGATATGAGCAAGGAGGATGTGGATAAAGCGGTTGAGAAGGCGTTTAAAGTGTGGAGTGCTGTCACGCCACTGATTTTCACTCACATTCATAAGGGAATAGCAGATATAATGACTGCTTTTGGGACCAAAGGTAAAATGAATACTGCACACAATGATAAAATTAACTTTTAAAAATTTTTTTTTAATTAATACATTTTCAATAATAATAACCAAAGCTCAGTGTTGTATCAATTCATATTATTTAGTTCATGGACATTGCCCTCGCTATTTTGATGGCCCCCTTGGAGTTCTTGCTCATGCCTTTCCACCTGGCAATGGTTTAGGCGGTGATGTGCACTTTGATGAGGATGAAGACTGGACCACAGGCTATTTGGTAGGTTCAAAAAAGGTTTATAAAGTGTTATGCAGATGAATAAGTTTCATTCTGATTTTATTTAAGTGAAGGAAGAGAATAAGATGAAACACTGCATTAACTAAAAAAGCAGTTTGAGGATATTGCAGGCTGCCCTCCAACAGGGATACTTTCAGTGACATAGACATAAACACCTTGATCTACTCTAGTCCTTAATTAGCCCTGATAAAAATACCAACAGGACAATCCTTTTCAGGTAGGAATGCCAAAGACACAGCCACTCTTACCCGGGGGCTGGTGATGGCCCGGAGTTTCACAAGCCTTGATAAAAGCTTTCTCTTCCTACCTCTGATGCACACTACCATGGCCTGTGCTTTGCAGCAGCCCTCAGAGGACATCCCCACCACCTAAAAATCAACACAGACACCAGGGATAATGAAGAATCTTCACGAAAAACTCCTGAGTAGGTTCAACAACAGGCAGCAGAGAAGGGAACACTGAGTGCCCAGCCTCAATCTGCCTGGAATGTCTGCTCTGCTCAGCCTCCAGGCTGGCCGTACAGCACATACTGCCTCTGACAGGTCCATCAGCACACAGGCACATTACCCTCTGCTACTTTAGACCCCTTTCTCACACACTTTTTGAGATGGAAAGCTGCAAAAAGAGGACTGAGGTCAGGAAGAGCAAGGAGCTAATGAACAGAAAAAGTGCTGTAAAACTGCTGCACAAGGAGGACACTGTGGATTTATTGTGGTGGGAAAAAAAGAGAGGGGTGAGTACTGGACTTGTCACATGATTAAATGTGATGTTTTCCCCATACTGGGACTGAATGGGTCAACCACAATTTTTCTGCTGTTCCTCAGCAGCGCAGCTACAGCAGCCAGACATTGCAGAACTTGGAGCACTCGGAAGACTCGTGAGAGGGGAGGACTGACTGGAAATATGTGTGGAAAAAATGAGGCTTTATTTTGTTTGTGTTTTTTGAGAAATGAATGTATTGGCTTCAGCCAGCCTTTCTTGGGCAATAGATGACCAGTCCTCTCCTCTGCCACAGACTTGTGATCTTCATTAAATCTGTTGACATTTCTGGATCTTAGTCTGCAGGGCAGATGATCATTCTTCCCTAATTCAGAAAGGCACGTTACTTGGAGGGATGCATGTTGAAGGAAATTCCATTTTTATTTCTTTGTTTTGCTAACATATGTCACTGGCAGTAAGCACGCAGAAGCATAATATTTTAAAATTTTATTTTGCTTCATAAATCTCTAAAGAAACCATATGCTTTAAAGTCCCAATGGTAAAAAGGTAAAGCGTTCTGCTAACGTTTTATTTTTCCTTGTCTACTCATGCTCTCACCTTTCTTTCTCAGGTTTGTAGGAGGGAGAGTGACACACAGAGTGACACTTTGATACCTGCAGTGAGCACAGAGTGTGTCCTCCTGCCTTGCCCTGGAGAGCTGTTAGTTTGATCTGACTCACTATCTAATCTGCTCTACCTCAGCCAGGAAACCCTGCCAGGACATTCCAGAAAGCTGCACCCACACTCACCCCCAGATATCTACTCACACACACACTTTCAGTAGCTAACAGAGAGCAAGAGGGTCAAAAGTCTCTCCCTTCTAGTGGAGGGAGACCACAATGTTGTCCTATACAAAAATATGTTCACCTAGATGCATTCCCCAGTGAATGTCAATATATTGTATAAAACTGCTACTGAGCAATAGCCTGATGCTGTGATCGTATCAGCCATTTATTGAGTAAAATTTGACTGATCTCTTCTCTCTATCCTTTTCATAAGGGTTCAACTTGTTCCTTGTTGCTGCTCATGAGTTTGGCTATGCCCTGGGTCTCTCCCATTCTAGTGATCAGAGGGCTCTCATGTTCCCCAATTATGCCTACATCAGCCCCAGTGAATTTCCCCTCTCTCCAGATGATATAAATGGCATTCAGTCAATTTATGGTGAGTAAAATCCATAGCTTTAAAAAAAAAGGTAAGCAGAGGAGAAATAATCTCTTTCACAAAGTTTCACCATAAACTTCTTCATATTTGCATAATGTTAAAAAAAAAGCAAGGTGTGGAAACCTTAATATTTCTACAATTTGGTGTAATCTTTCCAAAATTTCTCCCTCAGGATCCCCACCAAGTGCCCCAGATAAAAGGCTGACCACCCCTACCTCACCTAAAATCTGTGGCTCCCAGATGTCTTTCGATGCTGTAACTACACTCCGACAAGAAGTCATTTTTCTAAAGGGCAGGTAAATGCTGATATGTCATGGGGTTTAATTTTTCTTGATTTATACAAAGACTGAGTACTTTCGTGGCTCACATGTTTACAGGATTACCAATGAAACAAATGGATTTCAATTCATGGAAATAAAAGTTTTAGCAGATATTAGTTATATTCATATTTTTATAGGATCCTCTGAAAAAACATGCTTCATTTTTTTCCAGAAAACACCTTAATCCCCATGAGGCCTTATTCCCTAACGTATAGATAGTTACACTGAGTATTGACTTGACTTAATGATGCAAATATTTCCAGACAATCAAATAAAGGTTTGATTTGGAAGGTACCCTGAAGATCATCTAGTTCCAAGCAGGGACATTTCCCACTAGTCCAGGTTGCTCAGAATCCCATCCAACCTGGTCTTGAACAATTAATTAACTGTTTAATTAATTTTACTAATCTAAGAAACTAACAAACCAGGAAATAAGTACATTTGACCATACAGCTGAGCCAATCTCTCCTCCAATCCCCTCTGCAAGCCCAAAATCATCAGGGGAATTCATCTGCTGAAGAGGTTACAGTATGTTCTACCTGCACTGCTACAACCCTCTTACTATACAGTACAGGGACAACTTGAAATATTCAGCTGCTTATAACTGATCATTTATCAATCAGCATCAATGAAATGCCAGAATGAAGATAGAATAAGAAAACCAAACACTTCCCAGTGCAGGGGGTTATTTCCTTTCTGACACATCAAGCCAGGTAGCTCCACTGACAAGAAAGAGCTTGTAAGTCACAACATTGCTCACATTATTTTGCACATACAGAAGTTTCTGTGGTTTGTTATGTACTAGAAACCTGTTTCATATTTAAATCAGGCACTTATGGCGGGTATATCCCGATAGCTCAGAAGCTGAACGCGAATTAATTTCTGCCTTCTGGCCAAATCTACCTCCCGGTATTGAAGATGCATATGAGAACACAAAAGATCAGATCCTACTTTTCAAAGGTGAAGTATGAGATTTTCTCTAATTTTTTTTTTCTTAATTTAATTATGTGGGCAAAAGACAAATATTTTAATTTATCTTAACAGGCAACAAATTCTGGGTTATCAGTGGATATCAGGTATTGCTTGGTTATCCAAAGAATATCAACACACTGGGCTTCCCTAAAGGTGTCAAGAAAGTTGATGCAGCTGTTTATAATAAAAATACAGGGAAGACAGACTTTCTCATAGGTGACAAGTACTGGAGGTAAGAAGAATTGACAAATTTTTTCCTATTAATAACTCAAACATAATCTCAATAAAAATTAAAGTGAACATGTCATAAAAGAGAAAGTAGACCTTTTAGGTAACTGTAGGTTCCCTCTAAAGCCTATTCCCAAACTGGCATGAGTGAGTCTTGATACCCAAAAAGCAGGCAGGGGAAGAAAGAAGTCAGCTTTGGGAAGTTAACAGATTCCTTCTGTGTGCAAGGACAGTGGCTGCAAAGGTCTTCCCCAGGCAACCAGGGCAAGAGTGGTTCACACAGACTTTATTGTGACTAATGTGGGGTTCCTCAGTGATACATGCAATGTCATCTGGATTTTGAGATTCCTGTGGTTTCCTGTTTTTTGGTTTTGATTAATTTGGGTAGAGTATTTACAATATCTTGCATTGTTATTTTACTGCCTTGGTCACAAGACAACAGCATGTAAGAAAACCACAACACACATTTCTTACCTAGTAACTCATTCTCTCAGCCTCATATGCCTGTGAAAAATATTTCTTGTATCCAAGGAGAAGTGAAACAAAGGCTTTGTTTGCTTGGTTTGTTTTGGTTTTTTTGTTTTTTTTCCCCTGAGAGGGTTCCTCAAATCTGGAAGAACATTTTACATTCTCCTTTCAACTCCCTTAATCTAGCCCTATCTTATAAAAATTGTCCTGGCTCAGTTAGGATGAACTTGATGTATTAGAAATAAGCCAGCTTCCTTGCCTCCATCTAAATCTTTCAGCTAGTAGAGGATTATGTACAATATCTTATCAAAGTCTGAGAGGAGGAGTCAAAATTCATGCTATAAATATGTGCTATAGGAGGAATGAATCTGTCCAGTTTCCATGCCCTGTCTGTCACACTGTTATCATCAGAGGAGGGAAATCCCATCCCTGGAGTCAAAAATGTGGGTCTTCCTTCAGTTTTTCTCACTTAGGATGCTCCTTTGGAGGTGCTTACCTTTATCAGCAAACAAGAAACAACCTCATGGAAAACACAATGGCCAGCATCCTGCAGCGATTTCTGCAAGTAAATAACACAACTTTCTCTTGCAACCCCAGTGAAACCAATTAAATTGCAGATGGATGGGCATATTTTAAAAGCTGCTTAACTCTGTGCAGAATTGAAGTCTAAACCCTGGAAAATTGCATGTCTCCCTTCATATGATTTAGATTTGATGAAAACAGCCAGTCCATGGAGAAGGGTTATCCTAGACTGACAGTCAATGAATTTCCAGGAATTAGTCAGAGGGTTGATGCTGTTTTTCAACAGAAAGGTAAATTAAATTATGTTTTAAGTAAAACCAGTTTAGTTCTAAAGATCTTGAGTTCTGAAATGATGATGATGATGATGATTGCTGCATCCTGCAAAAGACAGAAATGAAAAGATGCTCTCCTTTGTGTACAAAAGGGATTTGTCAGAATGAAGCTATTTCTTGTATCCATAACATAATGCTTTACTTTTTCATTTCCAGGATTATTCTACTTCTTCCATGGATCAAAACAATGGGAGTTTGACCCTATTGCTAAAAAAGTTCTCAGAGAAATGAAGAGTAACAGCTGGTTCCACTGTTAGCATCATTAAACTTACCTACATTCACTGAAAGACAATAACTACCTTTCCAGAGATCTCAGAAATTGTTTGCATGTACACTGCTCTACAGCATAGGCAACAGGACTAGCTTTTATAAATACTTTTCATGTATTTTAATAAATTAACATGTCAGCTCAAATTTTATTTTCAAAGACTATAACAAAATTGCATTTTTCCCGTAAGTGGAAATTATACAAAATAATTTATTACTTTATTCTCCAGATGGTTTGGGGATTTTTTTTTTAATATTACGGCAATAAAGAGTTTTAGTTTGATGGCACCTTTTTTCTGCTTCATCTCTTGAAGGCATTCTACATTTCTGAGGTGTGAAAGGCTGATCCCTCCAGCATACAAGGTTAGCAATTTGCCTCTTTTCTCTCCAAAGAGCAAGCTTCTTGTCTCTCCATCTGCAAGCTTTCATTAGTCACTGCTTTTCTGCATTCTGCAGAAGATGCATTTTCCTGCATCTTGTTCTGCTCTTCTTTGTCTGTTGCAGCCTTGTCCCTTTCACATCACAACAGTACTTTGACACCAAAATCATCCTGAAGTCCCAATGCCTAAATAAATTTTCTCACTTGATAATCACCCTGATCAGTCTTTATAGCATAACAATTAACATTTCATCAGTGTCCACTTCGTCTGAAGCTATGAATTACATCCTTCACACACCAGCCCTGCCCTGTTCAAGAATAGATTCAACTGCTATGTCATGGAGCACAACCTTTGCTCTGCTGATACAAACCATGAGCTTTACATATTTCTGACATTTATTGCCTGTTGCCATGCAAACTCTTCACAAAATCAGACAAAATCTATAGAGTCACAGTCACATCCTCTCCGGCTATTTCTTTTACATTTCGTTCTGGAAACAGGCCCAGAACACACTGCCAAATTGTTGGCCATACTGAGCGCATGGCTGGGGATATCTGAGAACCTGGTCTCTGTACTAGTTTGTCCTGCTGCTCCCCAGTTCTCATATATTTGCCTGTTTTACACACCTCTCACATGCTTTAGTAAAATGTTCCTTTTTGCTGTGTATTTTTATAACAATGCAATGACCCCAGCATGAACCTTGCTCACCTTGCTGTGAACAGCAGCAGTACCACCGTGTTGCTGCTATTGCTGTGAGAAACCCACTGGCTTTGTTCCCACCAGGAAATCAAAGTAAAGGATCAAATGTGATTTTCACTAATCTATGAGTCTAATTATGGTGAACACCACCACCATTTAGATCCCTAAGAAAATGTAAACCTAAATTGGGGTGGTATGGTAGACATTTGAGGGAGACTCATCTGACTGCTTTAGCTTTCTGTCTAGAAATATGAGTTAGGAAAAATCCCTGTACTGAAAAAAGAGGAAGAAATTTTACACAACATTACTTATCTCATCTCATCTCATCTCATCTCATCTCATCTCATCTCATCTCATCTCACTCAAAGACTATGCTGGGGAATAGTCTTCAGCCTCCAGATAAAACATCTCTTCACAGGAGAAGGCTACCCAGCTAGCTTAGAGTACGTACCTTTCAGACTCATAAGGCTGGGTGGAATTAATAGTATCTTTGATGGGTATCTTTCAATTTTTATTCAGAACGGGACATCCTACATTTCTCCTCTATGATGTTTGGTTTTTTGACAAGTTACAACAGCAGCTTTTTTTATCACCACAAGCCAGTGATAAAGTTGTCTGAAGGCACCTGCTTGCACTGCCACTGTGTAGTGATTGTGATACCCCACACAAAATGAGCAGAACATGCTGGAGGCAGGTGGAACAAAGATGATTCCTTAGCTATTTCTGTCTTTTGAGGCTCCTTAAACTCTCCTCCAGCATTCAATTAAATTGATGTCTGTGTAGTAGAAAGCACAGTTTAACAGCACAATCACAGAAGCTGCCAAGCTACACCCAGGTGTTTATACTCAGAGGCAAGATTACTCTTTAACACACAGTCTGCTCAGTATGTAATATGATTGTAATTTTATCTTCAAGTAACGCTTAATCATTAAGTCATAGAGGAGATTATTCTGTTCTTTGCAATACATAGTCAAGTTCCACTGTCTTCAGATATATAAACAATCATAATTACCCCTTCTTTTCTTAGGTGAAACACTGTTTCATAATTTATAAAAATACCTGGTCTTAAAGCAAGTTAATCTTTAACAGTGAAAGGTAGTTAATGAAGTTTTCTGACTGGTAGCTCTGGCATTCTGTTAAACCAGTGAGGGGTTCATGTTCACAGGCCACCTGTGAAAACAAATAAAAGCAATCAGTACTGCTTTTCCTTTATTAGCAAAGAAAGCCTAAAAAGTCATTCCCAACACAGAAAGACTTGACTTCTGATTAGTGGTAACAGCTTGGTCACTCAGTTTTCCCTCTCTGATTGTCATTTCATTGGAGGAGTAGGAACCAGAATAGGAGTGTCAGAAGAGAACAGAAGAATGCTTACTGGTGGTCCTATCCTTCCATCTCTGGATAACATGGGATTATGTCTTGCAGCTCACCGTATCCTCCCACAGCCCCAGAGAGTTCCCAATACCTCTCCCCCTCTCTTATGCCTCCTGTAGCTCCTCATAATGCATGTCCCTATACTATATTTAGGCATCTAGCTGGGTAATGCTGTTACCCATGGAGTGACCAGCCACTGGCCCCACAGCCTGGCCCAGGCATGAATAATGTCTTCCCATCAAAAGGGGGTTTTCTCCTCTAACCAGCTGCTATTTTCCATAAAACCAGTAGCAAGTGTGGAATTTCAGTTTGGCTTGGAAAAATCGACCAATACCTCCAATTGCTGGGGGACCAGAAGGACACACAGACACACAGAAAACAGGATCCCATATGGTAAAGCTGAAATAATTTCCTCAGTGCTTTTACTGAACATTCTTCTTGCTTTCCACTGCAGATTTCCATTCAGGTTTATAATATTGTATTCCCCCTACTGTTGACAAGAGGAGTTTGAGAGGGTAGACAAGGAAATGCAGAAATTACATATAAAACCAAGGAGAGAGCTAATCCTCGTTTGTCTTTCCAGATGTTTTCTGTCACCAAGAAAAATGGTTGCTTGCTTCTCATCCAATTAATGGTTTTCAACAGCTGTTTTTCAAATGAATGAGATGCTAAGATGGTGAGACTGAACCGAAATGAGGAAATTATGCATCCTAATGTAACATGTTACTGGGGCACACGAACTACAGCGTTCCTGGTAGAATGTCCTGAAAAGTCCTGCTCACTTCTTTGCCTACAGGAACTCCTGACACTGGCATGGGAGTGTTCCAGCTAACAGAGTGGAGCAGGAGCTATGTATGATCAAATACTTGCTAGAACGGAGCTGAAAAGCTGCCTCTTACCCTTTCAAGTGAGCAATTCTCCCCTGTGCTCTCAGGTGACAGACTGATGCACCAAAAGCCCTGAGAAAACTGATACTGAGTTTTTTTCAAGGGTTTGGTACCTTAAAGGAAGAAGAAACACGAGCATGGGAGCTAACATACAAAGAAAAAACTTGTTATTACCTGGCGGTACATAACCATTCTTCCCTGCACTTGCTCATAACTTCATGCCCCTTGCTGCAAATTACCCAAATCCCAATAACAGGAAATGAAGGTGCAAGGCTGTGTTTAAGCACTGATAGCCACATGCTCTTTGAACAGCTTATGAAGTTTAAACCTTTTTGAACACATATCCATCAGACATGCCAGAGCCATGCCCAAAGGAGAGAACTGAAACCCAGTACAGACACTGCAGGTGCTGAAACAGGACATCAACAAGAATGGAGGATGAGCAGCACAGTGCAGATGAGGGGCCTGCCCAAAACAGGGAGAGCACTTTTCTGAAGTCTACACACCCAGGCAGAGAGCCTTGCAGGGTGAACCCTTTTAGTGACAGCCAGCCATCTCAGTGATCTTACTAAGTGCATCTTGCACATGTACTTTGCAGACAAGATCTAGAGGTTTGACATGTTGGTTCTGTGGTTCTGGTTGTAAATCAGACTCTTTCATGATCTGTCTGCATTCATTGATTAAATCAACTTGGGATAAGGGATATCTGTTGGATTTTTCCTCAGGCATCCCAGGCTTCCTGTGTTTTTATGGTCTGTAAGCACTGTATCTTGCTAACTTAAGATAAGTTAGTGGACATAGATCCATGTGTGTGTTTGTGTGCTCCTTAGAGTACCTTGTCCCCATGTGGGTGCATGTGGGTCTGCACAGGCTCTGTGGGGCTCTGCAGCCTGCAGGAGCTAAAGGAGCAGGGAGGGTGTGGAAATGCCTTCTCTGTATGATAGGAACAAATGCTGCTGGTGGAACCAAAGGCCATACAACCTCCACATTAATGGGCAGCACAAGGTTCCAAACTATCAGATAAAAATCCAACACAGGCTCCTAAAGACAAGGACTGGGTCTAGGGTGGGTAACTCAGCCTCTGGATATTGTGGCTGTGGGCTGTCTCTTTGACCTTGGGCTGATGAAGGTGGTGATTATTTTTGGAGCATTTGCTGTGGGAGGTTAGCACAGGCCCCCAAAGAAAACGCTGCTTCTTGCAACAGATTGGGGTAAACAACTTCACCTTGCCGAGCCCAGCCCAGCAATTCCCATGGACCCAGCCAGCAGGGACCTGCCAGCACTGCCCACTGCCCCTGCTTCGGGGTCCCTGGTCTGGGGGTGGGGGTCACAGCTGTCACCCAGGGCTCACAGCTGGCACCTCACGGCCACAGAAGCCACCCAGAGGCTTTACAGCTGGCGGGCGAAAACCACAGCTGTCACCACGCACAAGGTGTCACCCGGGGTTACAGCTGCCACCGCGCGGTCACCGCTGCCACCTAGCGCTCACAGCTGGCACCTCGCGCTCACAGCTGGCACTACGCAGCCACATCTAGCACTCCGCGCCCAAAGTCCCCTTAACATCTGCTCCAGGTTGGCTCCGGGCAGCCGAGCTCCTCCGATGTTTCTTTTCAGTTGTGCGGTTACTCGGCTCAGGATTTTCTAAATAAAGGTTTGCATAAAGGTATTTTATAGAAAAAAAAGTAGGGTAGGAGAAGCACTCAGAT